GCCACTGTACTAGCTCACGCCACTGTACTAGCTCACACCACTGTACTGCTAGTAGCATCTGAAGTCATTCTAATTTCATTTATAACGAACATGTGGAGTTAGTCAAGAAGTCCTCTTTTGTCAACACTCGCCAGAAGAGAGAAAGTTTTACTTTTTTTTCATTTCTACACTTACGGTACTTTCAGGACACTTGTGGGCTTAGCATCTTGGTAGGAACCCAGACTACAGTGACGTGTGGCGTAGCATGGAGTGGCAAACGAGGGGTCGCTAAGTGTCGTAAGTAAGTTGTGCTTTTAAACGTAGGTATGTGTGTCAGACTAAACCTGTGCTTGAACTGTGTATGTAACCCATATCAGTGTTTGATACTCACACCAATGAGATTTCTTAGGACAATTATTCATTATTAATAATTTAAGGAACTTGTCATTCGCTTTCATGCATACTGGATGTGTAAGCATTAATAAATAATATTTGCTGTGGGAGAGTTTTATTCTTTCATAACAGTTTTCTATATCATTCTTAGCCCTGAGCAATAGCTCCTCAGTCTACCTGTTTTGTGGCATTATGGGACTACAGACTGAAGAGTGGGAAGGAAAATTGATAAGCTAAAAATAATTTCTTATTTAGAAAAATCATTTTATGAGGGCCTATGAACCACCTGAGAAATGTACTGCATTTTGGAAAGGTAACTACAAATTTTGGTGAATATTTCTGTGGTGCTGTGCATCAAATCCAGCACCTTGAGCATGCTAGGAAAGTGTCCTTGTCCCAAACTGGGTTCCGTCTCTAGCTTTATATTATATCTTGTCTACTTTCCATCTTTGCACTAATCTTCAATAGAGTTTTCACATTCACTTCCAAATTTGTGTTTGGGACAAATCTAAAGGACAGACGTTGATGTTAAGAAGATGAACATGTCTTGGAGTCTTTTTAAAAATAAATTTGCTTCATCTTATATAAAAGACTTTAGTGAAGTTTAGGGGAATAGCCAAAGAACATTGTCATAACTACATTTTGTTTGTTGGTTGGTTGGTACAGGGTTTCTCTGTGTAATGTTGGCTGTCCTGGAACTTGTTCTGTAGACCAGGCTGGCCTTGAACTCACAGAGATCCATCTGCATCTGCCTCCCAAATGCTAGAATTAAAGGCATATGCCACTACTGCCTGGCTTGGAAATGATTTTTTTTTTTAGCATTCTTATTTCTATCAAAGAAAATCACCTCTTTTAACATTTTCTTATTGTCCAATCTCTAGGCCCAAATTTTAGGGCTGCACAAAGAACTCTGCATATCTTGGGGGAGAAACTGGATATGAGCATCTATCAGTTATAACTACAGACCCACAGGAAGGAAAAGGGCACGAGGAAGGGAGAGAAGAAGGATGTTGGCACCGAGCATTCCCAAGGAATCGCTACCGTTTACTTTGTTAAGTGTTGTGTAGTCTCTGTCAAGTGTAAAGAGCATACAGCTGTAGAATGAGAGACACAGCAGTGTGGGTTTGCTACTCAAAACAAGTCTTGAAGAAACAATTGAATTCATGGCGGTAAACTAGGTATCAGAGAACAAATAATTCCAGATTGGATGGTGTGGGTGAGATGCTCAGAAATCCCCAAAGTAGTGATTCTCAACCTTCCTAATGCTGCAACCCTTTAATACAGCTCCTCAGGGCATAGTGTCCCCAACCATAAAGCTATTTTTGTTGCTACCTCATAACTGTAATTTCACTATTGTTATGATTCATAATATAAATATCTGTGTTTTCTGATGGTCTTAGTCGACCTGTTTGAAAGGGTCATTTGACCCATCCCCAATCCTCAAGCTGAAAAAAATACTTCCCTAAAGGATCACATTACTTCACGCTGTTAGCTCTCCAAGGAAGCAAAAAAGCAAGCTTGGCCTCTCCCCAAGAACAGAGAGATACTTTTCAGCAATTGGGTGGCCAGGACTGGCTTCCCCAAGCTTCCTGCATACACATGACACAGTGCATACCATGAATCTAGCACCCTGAATCTGACCCACAGCTACACAAGCTAATAGGCTAGACAGAAGCTCAAGCTCCAGTTCTGGGCTAGAGACGTGACTCAGTGGGTAAGAGTGTTTGTTATTCAAGCATGAGGACTTGAGTTTGAAACCTCAGCACCCACATTAAATTAAAGAAAGAGAGAGAGAGAGAGAGAGAAGGTGGGGGCATGGCCCTGAATTCCTGCAACCCCACAGTTATGAGGCAGAGACAGGTAGATAGATCCCAGGAGTTCCATAGGAGCCAGCCTAGACAAAATGGTGAATTTGGGATTAAGTGAGAGACCCTGTCTCAAGAGTATAAGGTGGAGAGTGATGGAGGAGGAGATGGGACCCCTTTCTCTGGCTTTCTACACACACACACACACGCACACACACACACACACACACACAGAGAGAGAGAGAGAGAGAGAGAGGGAGAGAGGGAGAGAGAGACAGAGGGAGAGAGACACAGAGACACAGAGACAGAGAGAGACAGACAGAGAAAGAGAGACAGACAGACAGAGACAGACAGAGATAGACAGACAGACAGAGACAGACAGACACACACACAGACACACACACACACAGAGACAGAGAGACAGAGAGACACAGAGAGAGAGAGACAGACAGACACACACAGACACACAAAGAGACAGACAGAGAGAGACAGGGAGAGAGAGAATAAAACCCTCAAACCTCTTCATGTGTTCACCCCAATATGAGGCTACAAGCCTGGCCTGAAGATGAGAGAACGCCACCCAGGGCAGCCATTAGAAGTTCCGAAGAAGGGATACAAATGCCTGTGGAGACATTTCTATGGGAACAAACTTAAGCCTAACACTCTCCGCTTTGGGTCCCTGAGACAGGATGGGGACTGTGGAGACGGTGGTGTTCTAGTCAGAGTTCTTATCATTGTGGTAAACACCACAACCAAAAGCAGCCTGGGGAGGAGAGGGTTTATTATAGTTTACATTTCCACAGCATTAGTCCTCGAAAGCAGTCAGGGCAGGAACTTAAGGCAGGAACTGAATCAGAGGCCAGAGAGGATTGCTGCTTACTGGTTTGCTTCCTTCAGCTCGTCCAGCCTGCTTTCTTATTCCATCCAGGACCACCTGTCCTGGGGAGGCCTTGCCCAGTCTGCTGGAGCCTCTATAGACTTGCCTATAGGCCAATCTGATGGAAGAATTTTCTCAGTCAAGGTTCCTCTTCCCAGATAACAGTAGCTTGTGTCAGGTTGATGACAAACAAAAAACCCAACCTGGACATTTGAAAATTAAGGAAAGCTTAACATTTGTGAAGGAAGCAAACCAGGACTCCCAGCTGTAAACCAAGAGATATGTGATTGGAAGTTAGCATGCTTACTGCTGTAAATTGCTGCAGGTAGATTTCTCTCCTTGGATTGTCCAACAGAAAGATTTTAGCTCCCCTATCAATGAAAGATTTTACTATTAATATTTCCTTTGGTGCGTTCGGTGCAGAAAGTCAAAGGAACACTGCGAAGAGGTCAAGACAGGACTCATTAAACGGTAGGTTGATGACACCCACTCTTTCAGGACACTCTTCCCATAACTCTGAACACAGTCTACATAAGAGAGTAACTAAGTTTAGCTCCAAAGAAAGCAAGAAGCACACTCAGAACTTCCTAAAACACGTCTTGACCACCTTTTCCTTCTTCATGCCGGTGAAATAGCAGTAGTCGGTAAATGTTCATTGCCTATAGGGTGCCGTTTATATAGTCCAATTTAGTAAAAAGGTCCTTGGCACACCTTTTGTTGAAGCAAAAAGAGAAAGTAAAAGCAAAACTGCTAAGAGGGATGGTGGTGCTGGCACTACCGGTGAGCTTTGGAGAAGGCATCCTTTCCCCACTGACAGGAGGTGACCTGCACTTATGTTTGGGGCCAGCTGCCTGAGCATTTGGAAGTAATAACCAGATTAAAAGCGCTTCTGCTCTAGGTGACAGGGAAGGGCATCCTAATACTCCTTCCTGGCTGACTTCTGAGGACCTGATTTCCTTTTCCTCGTGTTCAGTGGGCACAGTGAAGTCGTGATGGCTGGGAGTCCTTGCAGTGTGGGTGAAGGCTCATCATTTTCCTGGAGGTTCCAAGACGACCAAGGGGCGACAAGGATGTAAGGGGAAGTGGGGAACCCCGGGGAAGCATGATTTCAGCGGACAGTAGAGGAACAAGGGGCAGAAAAAAACCTCTGGGAAAGGGTTGTGGGCCTCTTCTAGGCATAGGGTCTCTTCGCACCACATGCTCCCCCCTCCCCCGCCCCTGCCTGCTGCCCTCCTAGGCCAGACCTCCCCGCTTGTTTGCTCCAGAGACACAGAGAGCAAGGCGATCGCGACCTGACCCGGAGGAGGCAAACGCTCAGAGCAGCAGCGTCGAGGCCGTCTGGTTACCTGAGTGCTCCGAAGGCTCCACAAGCCCGAAGGACCTCAGCAACAGCACGAGCAGCCCAGCCGCCCAGCCCGAAGTGGCCCACCGCATCCCCATCTCCAGCGCCAAGCCTCTGCTGCCCGCACTGGCTCCAGGGGTGAGCCCCACCGGCCTCTCGGTGCCTCTGGGGCAACCTCTGGGGCGCGCAGACTCCGCCCCCCGCCGCTCTTGGCCAATCAGAGCTCAGCTTCGAGTCTCCGGCCGAGCGGGGGCGTGCAGGAGTCCCCCCACCTACGGCGCACTCTGCGAGGGCTCAGGACCTCCAGAAGGCGGGAGGAGTGCACAGGAAAACCACAGGGTATGGGGGTCGCTCCCCCTCGTCTTAAGCAAATTTGGGGAAGTGCGGCTCTGTCCGTTTAGCATTTGTTCTTCCTCGTAGGAAGACAAGGCAGTGAGCTACAGCTTCAACCCTGTCTGGTTGAAAATGTGCACATAACCATGGTCTCTACAGATGAGGGAAAGTGCACGCTTGGATCTGTGGTGCCCGTGGTCAAGCCAAAGACCTCAGTTGTGTTTAACAACATCGTAGTCATTTTGGAAGTATGAACAAAGGTATGAACAAAAGTATGAATAAAGGCACGTTGTGGGTTGACCTGAAGTTGTCAAATCATATTAAAAGTGACAGCTATTCCAGCGATTTTACTACTTTTAAGGAGTTTTAACAGGAACCTTTGCAGAGTTTTTTTCTTTAACAATCTATTAGTAATAATAATCCATTTGAAATGTGGAAGTCTGCACCCAGAATCTGAAATTCAGGCCCATTTATTCTGTCCCTTGGACAATGCTACTGTTACAAAAAGGAAAAGTTCCAAATGATCTAACTTGCCTAGAGGTAAACGTCTTATATTTTAAACTATTTATAGAGTATAGGATGTATACTTGAGATATCTCCTATCCCTGTGCCCCAAAGGTGGCTATTACCGTCAGGATGTGTCTAGGTCTACTTTCCAAGTTCCAACTGCCCAGATGGCTCTAAACCCATCCTTGGTTCCATTTTTCCTCCCATGCCTTTGCATTTAGTGGCTACAGAGAGCACTTATCACAGTGATGAGGCTCGCCTCGAGCTAAGATGCTAGAGAAGCATCTTAGCCTTCTGGCTTTTATGGAAGAGATGAAACTCACACAGCAACGTTGGGCAAAGTGCACAGGAGGATCAGACAGAGCATCCAGAAAACTGATCAACTGGGATTTGAAAGATGGGTGGGGTTCTGGATAAGGGAAGAAAACATGACAGAACAGACGCAAAGAATGCAAAGTGAGCTTGGAGGTTCAGTTTAACTGATAGTAGGAGAGAGAGAGAGAAAGAGAGGGGGTGGAGAGAGAGAGAGACAGGGAGATAGAGATGGGGGTTGGGGGTGGGAGAGGAGAACAGAATGCGGGTTTTTTTTTTTATTTGTTTGGTTTTTGTTTTTAGATAAGACGTAGATGGTAGGAAGCATTAGTACCAGCACCTGCTGCTTCTGCAGCTGCAAGCCCTTCCTTTGGAGCCCACCTGACTTGAAGCTCCTAGAAGGCACTGGTTGTCTTTACAAAGATACTTTTTAACTTTAGAAGGGTTCAAGGCTTTCAGGAGAGTTTCAAAGAAGGCAATGATCACCAAAAGAAAACTTCATCTAAGATAAAGCAAGTCCTTCTGCGATGTGACCCTTGCTCTTTAACGCCCACCCTATCTTTCTCCTGTTTTACATCAGCTTGTCTGAACTGGTCTTGTCTTGTCCAGTCTCTCCCCAACTCAGATTCAAAGTACTGCTTTTCCAACTGAGTGTCACCAGGCTCATCAACTGTACTCTGTGCCCAGTAGTACTTAGCCAGCACAACATGAACTCAGTGGTACTTCTGTGAACTTTTTTTTTCATTTTGCTTTGTCTGGGCGTGTGTGTGTGTGTGTGTGTGTGTGTGTGCTTTGTTTTACTGAGCTTTTGTTGATTTTGATTTTTAGTTTTTTGTTTGTTTGCTTTATGCTTTTTTGTTTCTGTTTTCATTGCTGTTTCTTGTTTCTTTCATTTTGTTTGAAAGAGGGAGAGAGAAAGAAAGGACATAAAGGTGGGGGAGTAGGGGAGGTGAGGAAGAGCTGAGACAAACTGGGGGAGGGAAAATATGATTAAAATACATTGTATGATCTTTTTTATAGTAAAAGAAAGAGAAAGTGCTTCTTCTTTCTTTTCAAAAATACAAAACCTTGCTATGCATTTCAGCCTGGCCTTGAACTCCCAAATCTCCTACCTTAGATTTCTGAGAGCTAGAATAAAAAGTATGTGGCTCCACAGCAGGGCTGGGATGCCCCACACTCCCTGCCTTATTTCCATCCTCTTAACTCTCTGATCAGAATTCACATTTTATTAAACCTGTCTATTAAAGGCCCTTCGGATTTTCCCCTTCAAATATTTGCATAATAGCGTATGTTCAGTTCTCTCAGCAGTTAACACTCGATGCCCCCGATGCTGTCTATCCCTTTGGGTCCCTGTGCACGAATTTGCTGCTGAGGTTATAAAACATCAACAGATATTGTCAGTGATGACATTAGAAGGAGCTGTATCTTTCAGGCCTCAGTTACTGTCATCTTCTCTAAGACATCTGGTTTTCTGGACTGTTGGGCTAGATGACCTTCCGTTGCAACAAGTTTCCCAGACATCCTACACCCTTTCCTGACAGAATCTGACACATCTGGATTAGATAATTATGGTCTGTCAACCCACTTCCCTCTGCCCCTCCCTCCCTCTTCCTTCTCTACCTCCCTCTTTCCCTCCTTCCCTCCCTCCTTTGCTCTTCCCTACTTTTCTCCCCCTCCCCCTTCTGTCCCTCTCTCCCTCTCTTCCATCCTCCTCCCTCTCTTCTTCCCTCCCTTCTTCCTTTTTCACCACCTCAGTTCTCTCTCCTTCCTCCTCCTCCACCCTCTAGAATGCAAGCACCATGGGGAAGTGATTGTGACTACTATTGACTTCTAAGTTTGGAGTACCTGGCATGGTTTCCTGGATGAATGAATGAATGATAGCAGATATCTTATAAAGTGGTACAGGCAACAGGAGTTCATATATTTGGAAGAAGGAGAAATGAGTTTGGGCAAGATGAAGGGTCTTCAGACACTGGACTGGGATGTCCTCCAATGGCTGTGTCAAGTCGGTATGAGCAGTGGAGAGAAAGGACACTTCAAGCCAAGGCAATGGTATGAGAAACAAGGGTGATACTGGTGTGGTATCTGCAGACCCCTGGCTTCCAGCCCACTGGGCTAAGCATTTCTCATAGTCAGTCCAACTTGGTAATCGCCCTATGAAGCAGGCATTTCTGCTACCCTCTTTCTGTAGATGTGGAAACTAATGTAACATGAAGGATT